CCTTTCTTGTTATTTATGTATTTATATTTCATATTTCTAAACTGTCCATCTCTCTCAAAGATGGGCTCTTATATAGTCTGGGAATAGCAGGAAACAGTACGAGATGTCCCCTTCCAGTGTGGGCAGGGTAGGAAGAATTACAGACAACAATCCTTCCTTTTTTCAAGAAAGTGTGCCTGTTTGTTGTTGGTTTAGCACATCAGGATTATTAGGTTTAGTCTTCCTTCCTCCCTCTTTTCCTTCCTTCCTTCCTTCCTTCCTTCCTTCCTTCCTTCCTTCCTTCCTTCCTTCCTTCCTTCCTTTCTTCCTTCCTTCCTCTTCTTGCAAACTCTGGACAGGTGGCATCTCTGGACAGGTGGCATTAACTAGTTTTACTCTTGTTCTCAGGAAAATTCTTTGTTTTTTCCAGGCCTTATCCATCTTTATAAATTATAGTTATAATGTGCAGATATTCAGAATTCTGAGTTTGACATGCTTCCTATAATGCAATATGAAAATGCTGGCTTAAAACACATTTTCAAGAGAGCTTTTGAAGGTGGGCACTATATTTCAGCCAGACCTGATGGAGGCCTCACAGCATCTGAAGAGGCACCAGACCAAATTGAGGGGAAAAATAATCAGTAATAGAAAAGATTCTATTAATTCCACTAGATTCTTCCACCATGCTTTCAATCAACTAAATAAAATCACTGAAGAGCCATCTGCCTGCCAGCATGTGAAATTTTTCCAAAACCAGGAACAGCAAGGGGCAATTATTTAAATTACCATGCATATATTCATAGGTATGCTAGGCATAGTTTTGAAAGAGTAGAGGGGTCTTATTCCACGGAGAGGAAAATGTCTGTAAATATATTCTTGCATTTTATGTCTGGCATCTCGACTTTTATCTAAGATTTTAGATAAATTTTACCTGCCTGTTAGCCTCTGACATTTTTTTTTACAGTTTCTATGGGATCTTTAGTTTTAATTTTTAACGCTGATTCTGTTTTTCAATATGGAGCACTTGAATCTAGGAATGTTAGCTTTAAGAATTGAAACTCACTGTGAATGATTATAGCTCACGGAGCACTTTAGATTTGAGTTCATTTTAGGTTGAATAAAAATGTGCTTAGAAATCTGGTTTTATATTATGAGAAGGTGGGAGAAAGAGAGCAGTAATCTATATTGGTTAGGTTAAGGAACATATGGTGAATCATGGGAGATTTAATAAGGATTAGACATATTTTCCCATCCTTTGTTCTAGTCACAATGTTCTTTTAACTTTCCCTTGACCCCTTCTTTCTGGTGTTGTTAAAAAATGTCCAATAGCCCAATAAATGGATAAAGAATAAGAGACTAGTCTAATTTTTATTACCAAGATTGGATTGGCTAAGCAAGATGCAACTGATTTCTCTTAACTGTTATCTGTTATATCTTTGCAATTGATCAAATGAAATAGACGTGACTTTTTCTGCTGCTTGCTTTATGAAACTTCTAAAAGAACTAAATTCAGTCAGTCTGGAAGAATTACAACATATACAGGCAGCCCAAATGTAATAGAGTAGCACTGCAAAATCACAAGTTGGTTTAAACAACAACAACTCAGAGCTGTACATATTCATCTGCTTACTCAATCTAGCACTAATCAAGACAGAAATGGAACAATTTTATAAAATTGCATACTCCACTGCAGATAATCTGCCTTGTAACGTTCTAGAGCAGAACATCTTATGTTGGGTAATAGAACCACAACTGTCCAGATACATTCTGCAGTGGGATGTATACTCTAAGAATGAATGATTCTGTTTTCTTACTCCAACATATTGCTCCTCCATGCTAAGTATTGCTTTCCAAAGCCTTCATGCTGAATTGGGCCCACAGTTATTGCTAGTGAACGTTATGTGTTTAAACTTGATTTATTAAACTGGAAAGTGAGCCCTACTTTACCTTTACAAGGGCCACCTGGGTGTTCCTTGCCATCCTCATTTTGAGCACCATTTTTTCAGTGAAGAAGATAACTGCAAAATACTGTTTTGAGAAGCAGTAGTAGCACTAATGTGATAAAGCAAACATAACTCATTTTCTCTTGATCAGAAGCTTCACGTAAGTATTCTTTGGGGACATTCACCTTGATTAAACTAGAATCAGTGAGCTGCTGCTTTAGCATTTCCCAAACTTATAAAAATGCTGGGGGTGCCCATTTGTAACAATAACAGATCCCCTGATTCAAGACTTTAGTCTTTAATGCATGATTAACTCATAGTAAGCAGAATATCAAGGCTGGGTGGAAAGACAGCTTGCCTTTGTTAGTACAAATAAAACAAAAAGCAAACAGAGAAAATGTTCTCATGGTTGCAAGGATAATAAAAACCATTCAATGATAATTCCCTTCTCTGTTATATGAATATCATAGCTTGTTTGGAAAATATTTAAGTCAGTGGTAAAATCTGTCATTGTCATGACTGAGTTCTTTCTATGAAATTGAGTAGAGGTTATAATGCTGCAAAGAATTAAAAGAAAAAAATCAGGGTCTTAATACATAGTTCCTTGCAAAGAGGAGGAACTGCATGATCACCAAGGAACAGAACAAGGGGGTTAATCTCTGTTTTTCTTTATGCAGTCTGCTAACTGCATAAATAACAAACTAAATTGGGCCAGATTATTCTACAGTAGCTCATATATTTGTGCACTTAAATGTTTATTTCTCACCTTAAAAATTAATATTTCAAACATTTGAAATTTAATTAATGTTTAGAAACATTAGGCAGTACAAGTGCTTTTTGGGGGTAGCAAGTTTGGATTTCATAGATTACTCACAATGTCTTATTTTAAACAAACATCAATTTACTACTTCATCATCATGTGTCAAAGCCTTTTTGAGAGGGACAGCAGGCAGTTCTCAAAATTCATAGACTCAACAGATTATGGAGTTTAACAGGATCTTAGAGGCTACCTATTTTAACCCCCTGCTCAGTGCAGGATCCACGAGAATATTTTTGACAAATGACCATCCAGCCCCTGAAAAATTTCATAAAGGAGAACTTAATTACCTTGTGGGAGCTGTTCTAAGGATTGAAAACTGTTATATGCAGGAATTTCTTCTGAGGTGAGTCCTAAACATGCTTTCTTGGAGTTGTAATCCATTGGTTTTGGTCCAGTCCTCTGGGATAATAGAGAATAAATCCATTCATACATTTGAGAACTTTTCAGATATTTGGTGACTGTTTTCCTATCTCCCCCCCCAATCATCTATTCTGTAGGCTAAATATATTAAAATCTTTTACTGTTGCTAAGAAGTTTTGTTTTCCAGACTTCTCAATCTCTTGGTAATTATCCCCCAAATGTGGATGACTCCTTCCTTTATAATGTGGAACAACCTAGTTTAGTTACCGTAAGTTTTAAGTAATCTCCATCTTCTATATATTGGGATGAGTCCCAAGCTAGTGCTCACTGGATAAATATTCTATAGTTGCCATAAGCCACACTTCTTAGGAATTTTGTAAAAAAAAAATCCTACTAGATCAAAAACTCATATCCAGCATTCAGTGGCACAAAGTGGCTGAACAGAAGCAACTGAGAAGCTCATAAGTAGGACAAGAATACCCTCTACCCCAATGTTCACACCACTGATCATTAATCTTAATTCCATAGATAGCAAAAGGTCAATAAGATTACAGTGACAGATTGATCGCTCATGACTTTCTCCTGTTTAAGAAGTCATTCACTGTGACAACCATTTTGTTCTCTTCTGAATTTGGTCCAGTTTGTCATTGTATTTTGTATGTGTTTGTGTGTAGATTCCTTGAGATTCTAATACAAAGAATAATTGAATATAAATGGTATTAATCAGTTAATATATAAATCCAAATTATTTTGGGTTTTCCCAAATATCCTACTTATTGGATCATTTATTTCAATGGAAAGACAAGTAAATATTCTGTTTGGGCACCTCACAACAATTGAAAAAGGCAATGGGTATATTAAAGTTCCTAAGTAGTACTAATGACACCTGTTTTTCCAATGCAGAATATTCAAGTGGACCCAGGATTCATATTAAAATAAAGCACCTGTTCCCCATCGTAGATTCCCAGATATGATCAGATTTAAATTAAATTACATGCACCTATTGAGGGACCTAAGACTAGGAAAGAGTGGGATAATGATGAATGGCATCAAGCAAATTTGTCTCTTACATTGAAGCTTCTTATAACCAAATGAAGAAATGAAGAAAATAACTGAATTTATGGGGAAGGATAGAGGATATTTTCATTTTTCTTTCCCTATTTGGCTAGGAATATGGATAATGGTGTAGAATACAGACAGAAAGATGAGAGAGTGATTTATCATTTCCTACTGTTGTGTTTCAAGGGTCATTTTTTCTCCTTCCATTCAATCACATCTGATTCTCTGAGATTGCTTGGACAAGTCCCTGCAGTTTTTCAGAAATGGCTTGCTATTGTCTCTTTCCTAGGACTGAAAGAAAGTAACTGGCCCAAGATTGCACAGCTGGCTTCTTGCCTGAAGCAGAACTAGAACTCCCAGTCTGCTAGTTTCTAGCCTGATGCCTTAACCATCGCACCAAATTGACAACATAGTTGGTTATAAAATCCATCCACTTTGGGCAGGGAACAGTATTACTGAACATTCACAGTTGCTCACTGTTAAAAGCAACTGATGTGGGCTTTAGAAATGTTGAGGGGCCATGCTGTAGTCCCCTTCTGATAATTCACAGCTAAGATGCTAAACTTAGCATTAAATACAACGTAATAGTCATGGTTGTGCTTGTTGGACTTAAATGTGTGCTCTGATGAAAATAAATCTTCAAAGATGTTGTGAAGCTCCAGGTGACAGGGCTATCAGGATGAATTCTTTGAGGTGTGAAACACTTTCCCTGGGGCCAGGTGGGATGTTTTCCGCTTAGATAAATCATAATATTTTTCAAAGAATTTTTATCCTGTCATAGTGCCAAATCTATTAACATATTTGCTTGTTCTTTTCATTCCCTCTCTCCCTTTCTGTAGTTTCTCCAGGATACTTTAGATGCCCTATTTAATATCATGATGGAACATTCTTATAGTGACGCATATGACATTCTTGTCTTTGATGCTTTGGTAAGGATTACTGTATCAACTCTTTCAATCAAGTAAGCTCTTTTCTAGCATTCTGCATTTTTTTTTTTTTAGAAACAAGACACAAGAGAGCATGATGCCACCAAAGTGAGCATGATGGCTTCACTTCTCATCCATGCTATAATTAGCCTCCTTGCATTCAGGGTAAACTATCTATGTGGAACTAGAAACATCAGAATTATCTATTTCAGGAGATAGTTATTAATTAAGTCCACATTGGAGTTTCACATGTTTAGATATTAATCCATTTGTTAGATAGAATCTCACGTAGACTTTTTCTCCATGTTCTAATTTTTTTCCATGTGAATCTGAAAAATCCACATCTATTGTTTCCAGCTTCCTCAAATATTTGAAATTTTGCAATACAACTTTCCTTGTTGTGCACATTTCATATACATTCCGTAACATATTTTAAAGCATAAAATAAATGCATGCATTTTTTCTTAGTATTTTTAAACATGTATGTTTAAAACTGCAAATACTTCTATATGAGATACTGTATTTGGATGCTTGCTTCTCAAATAAAGGTTCTCTTTTGGACTGATCTTAGCAAGTCAATACAATTTTGTGTGAATTTTGGACTGGGAACTGAAAAAATGCCAGCATATTTAATTCATTGCAACATACAGCGTTTCCCATATCTGTTTTGGCAATGGCATTTATCCATTTCCTCTGGAGGCTGGGTGGATTTCCTTTACATCCCTATCTACTGAGGTGGATAGCTCCAAATGACATAAGTAGTTTTCCTTCTCACAATTTTCTGCTTGGTATGGTCCAAAAATCAAGATGGCAGCCACAAGAATGTAATCTAAGCACCATCTGTTTTTTATATGGCAGAGCTCACAGGCTCTTGTTTCTTTCTTTATTTCTTGCATTAAAATATCTGCACTTAGCCTTCCAAGTGCTTTACCAAAGTAAGCAATCTGGAATAGGAACCAAAAATTAATTAGACACTAAAATGTCACCAATATTCTGAATTCAGTGGAGTCCATAAAGAAGGAGCCCCTCTTCCCTCTTCCGTTAAAAAACATTTCCAAGTGATATTTTACATATGAAAACCCTTATTCTGTTAATGTGTTACAGATTTATGTAATAGGACTCATTGCCGATAGAAAATTTCAGCATTTCAATACTGTACTGGAGGCTTACATTCAGCAACATTTCAGTGCAACTTTAGCCTACAAGTAAGTATATAACAATCCTGATGGGGAAGTCAATATGGGAAGCCCCTAAATCATATTCTGTCCTGCTGTTTGATGCATGTGGAAGAAAGGGAACAAGGGAATAGATCTCACTTCTTCATACTGATTCTCCATGGATCATTCTAATCTTTGCAAAAATATTCTCCATGCAACAAAAAACTAGAAATGTATTTATAGTGGTCCTATGCAAATGGTTTCAAAGAGTTCTCAACCTTATCCTGTACTTCTAATGTAATATTAGTCTATGAAATAATTATGGCTGCCATCCAGGATCATCTTGTATGAAAGATAGAAATAATAATGTTGAATAGTAATAGTGTTTTTTTCCCCCTCAGGTGATAAGTTTTAATACCTGCATTTGAATTACAAAAAAAAAAAATCTGCTGTGTACAACATATATTACATATATTTTCACTCACATACTTAGAAATCTAATTTGATAAAAATATTTTTCCATTTTTGTAACATGTTCTCCTGATTTCAGGAAATTAATGGCAGTTCTGAAGACTTATTTGGATACTTCAAGCAGAGGACAACAGTGTGAACCTATATTAAGAACGCTAAAAGCTCTGGAATATGTATTCAAGTTCATAGTTCGGTCAAGGACTTTGTTCTCTCAGTAAGTATTCAATTTAAATTTCTTCTTATGCATAAAATCTGCACAGGTATAGCATACTTTTCTTCAAATTGGTATATCCCAGATAATAATTCTTAAAGTTCCCAATCTGATGGCCATGTGGCTTGGAGGTTTGGGAATTGTAAATCCAGAGCACTTAGAAAGTGCTGGGAAGGAGTGATTTTCTGTTGACAATTTGGCCAAGTATATTATCAGTGAGAATGGTAAGTATGTCAGGCTTGAACAGGGCTGTTATGCTGGCAACTTCATGAACCCATTTATGTAATTATTTTTAGCAATAATATGAAAGTGTGTTTATCATCTTTTGTGATCATCTTTTCAATTTTTCAGTGTAGCATTGGAATTTTCTCATAGTCTCTCATCCATATCCAGTCTATTTAGTTTTTTTTAAAGATTAGTCTTACATGATTAAGGATTATCACCTAACTAGGCAGAAATGTTATGAATGACAAACTTATATGTGCAAGATCAGTGAGCATGAAAAATAAACTCAGTTGTTTTATACTGGAAAGAACATAGAGACCATTTCTAAACTATATAAAATTGGAAACAAGGTCAGTAGACACTAAGATGATACACAAAGAGCACACTAAGCAGCAATTTGCTGCATGGATGGAAGTTTTCAATCCCTATTAAAATCCACAGAGGTCCTAATAACATCTGAAAAAGAGCAAGAGAGAAATTCAGCACACCATTTTAATACTGTATAGCAATTTCTCCTTACTATAATTGTGTTCCTCTGAATGAAACACATTACAGTTGTCAATGGGCCCAGAGAGGAGAAAGGAGTCTAAGAATCCAATCAAATGTGCAATCAACTTGTACATTCACTTCAAGCCCTCGCCTTTGATTTGGGATAATGGAAGCCTTTAGATACATACTTTCTAAGTATTACTTTTTTCAAAGCAACAGGAGAACTTAAGACTCCCCATTTTAGTGGAGATTTATTTTTTGAATGTGTCCTTTTATAAATAAGTCCAATTAGGTTTAGCGTATATTTATTATGTTATGTTATTAATTGCGAAGTCGTGTCCGACCCATCGCGACCCCATGGACAACATTCCTCCAGGTCTTCCTGTCCTCTACCATCTTCTGGAGTCCATTTAAATTCACACCTACTGCTTCAGTGACTCTTAGCGTATATAACACCTTCCAACTCTACTGCAGTCTCTATGAAATCACACAGTTACATTTTATTTGGAGTATTCCAGAATGAAGGTTTTTGATGTGAACCTGTTTAGCCAGGCTGTGAATTGTCCATATAGACATATAGTAGTTTCTGACATATCCTTCCATTTCTTTTCTCCACCATAGTGTGAAAACTTTGAAATACCTTCTCCAGAGGTTTGCATTATAATGTTTGTTTATATATCTTTTCTTGTGTTTTTTTTTCCCTTCTCATAGTGTTTTATTCTTTTCCTGTGTTCATTTTTGTTTTCTCCTCTTGACATATGCTTTCTGAGAAGGCAGCTTTCGTTACAGAGATTGCTTCATCTGGAAAAGTTAATTAACTTACTTCTCCCCACGCAACTTGATTTTCAACAAGGCAAATCTTCATTCATACCGAATCATCTTTTGCTTTTCATCTGAACCATCTGAACTTATGCTTCCAACCTTTTGGAATTCATCAAAGGATACTCTACTGCCACAATGCCTACTTCTTAAGAAGCCCTGTAAAGCATCCCAACTGAAGTTATGTAGGGTAATCATAAGGGCTAGCCTTCTGCTTTCATCAGACATTATTGTAGAAACCTTCAGCCTTGACAAAAGATCTCTTTTTGATTAGGTATTCTTTTCCATGAGCTTCAGCAGTTTCACCAAGGAAACTAGCTTGCTTTTCAGCCATATCTGAATGATTTCAAAAAGACATCATGATTCAGATTGCAATCCTATGACTGATCATCTATGAATTTAAAAACCACACCTCCCTCCTCTCTCACTTTTTCTCTGAGTGTTAGCTATTTCCTCCACCAGACCTCTTACAAATTGGGGAAATCTCCAGGATGTTTTATGGGGCAAAAGCCAAGTAAATAACAAATACAATACAAATAACAAATTTGTTCTGCAAAATTCAGAAACAAGTTCTGTGCCAGCACAGAGGAATACATTTAGAGGTAAATAAAAAGTTCCTTATCTCTTTTTTTCAATAGAGGTTTGTGTTTAGAGAAAGGAGTAAAACGAGATCATTAACTCCATTGTACAGTGCCAATCCCTTCATATGAGCAGTACAAATTTTATAAATAAAAACATGAATATAACCTGTCATGCACTGATGAGGCAGCATCATAGGGAACAAAGTAGACAAAATAGGATAATTTTGGGTATACAGATCACACTAAGCTCATATGTGCTTTATTTGGAATACAATGTTTGAACTTTCCATTGTGTTTTATAAATCAGGCCTTGGTATTATGTGAATTACTATGTCACTCTGATGGGTATATGGCTTAGTGTGATATATGAACCTGATGTCTTGTAATTTGATAAGTAGAGAGACTGTTTTCTTCTTGCTAACTTTCCCTAGAATATCAGATTTATTTTAAGGCTCTTGTCTTATTCTGTTGCTACTTTAGTATTTTCTTTTTCCTAACAAAAAAATCGACAAGGCAACCGGAGCACAGCATTTGGTTTGAACAAATGATTTTATACTCTCTTTGTTTGACAATTGTTTTGTTTTGTTTACAAGACCATAGTGTATTATTCTTTTTATTATTTCTTCCAGCATTTGGCTTTATGATACATACACACATCCATGAAAATTAAAATCATACTCCTTTGCAAAAAGGGGAATCTGTTCCCAGCCCCTCTGGGGAACTTCATTTAATCTGTTGCATTGTTACTTGTGACTGAAGCCTTCTTTAGCTCTTCACATGGCTGGTCCTATCCCTAAAGCAGGGCATATGATTATCCCTGAATGTTAGGCAGTAATTGCCAAGGGGCATCTATGTGATACAATATATGTGTTTAGGTAGTGCTTTGCAATAATTGTGGCAATTATATTTAAGCTAAGGGAGCTGGGCTAGAAGTGGATAGGACCAATAGGCTGAGTTCCTTGCCTTTAGGCAACTTTTCCCAACCTCTTTCTCAGATATAAAGGAGTTACAAATTGCAGAAAAATAATTGCACCCTTTAAGAGAGTTGCATGTTAGAAAGCAAATATAAGGTAAAGTGTCACTCATATTCTTTAATTGCACAATATCTTTTTAGAAGCATTTCTTTGTGGTTTGAAGAAATATGCAGATATTTTTGAGTGATATTAAATCGACCAAATACATAATGTTTTTAAGTATTCTTGAAGGTTACCATCTTGGAAGCCTGGAGAGAGATCTGCTGCTATATAACAGCAGATAGTAGCAACTGGTCATTCATGTCTGGGCTTAGAAGCAACAGTACATAAATAGTCCAAATATGGGAGATAACTGTCTTGGAGCCCACAAACCAAGCCTCCACCCTGCCCTGGCTCTTTCTTGCTCACTTTACCTCATACAATACAAATGAGTTAACAAAGGAATGTGGAAGCTGGATTTCCTTCTGATCCAGCAGGTATTATGGGAACTATTATGAGCCGAGGTGGTGCAGCAGTTAGAGTGCAGTACTGCAGGCCACTTTAGCTGACTGTGTTCAGCAGGTCAGCAGTTCAAATCTCACTGGCTCAAGGTTGACTCAGCCTTCCATCCTTCCGGGGTAGGTAAAATGAGGACCCAGATTGTTGGGGGCAATGTAAATATATATATATACATTGCTTACTGGTGTACACCGCTTAGGGAGTGCTTGCACTTAAAGCGGTATATAAGTCTCATAAATAAATAAATAAACTATAGTCCAAAAGATTTGGAAGGCATTAGCTTTGCTATACGTGACTTAACTGGGACTTCCTGTCAGAATACCCCCTTCCTTAAATCTCTCCCATTTATTTGGCTTGCTTCGTTTTATGTTCATAATCTCTCACCTGCTTTGTTTTAATTAGAGAGGGAGAGAGGAATCTGCAAAAAGAATAAAAATGATGGGCTGCAGATTGCAATGGCTGCCTTTTCAGCAATATCTTGCAGTACTGCTCCATCCTTCTTTGTAATCTATCCTTTGTTGCCTTGCCAAAGAGCCCTCAAACATTTTTGCTTGGCTGTGTAAGCCTTCACCTGTTGCAGAATTGGTACTTCTCGGGTAGTACCAATTTTCCCAAGGTATTGGGAATAAATTAATGTTTCAGTTACATTATTATATGACTGTGTTAGGAGAACGTCTGAGAGGTTTGCTTGAAGGACCATAGAACTCTACACAGGCCACTGCTTGAAAGCTAAGCCTGGCTGGGGCTGCTCAGTACTTAGATGGGAGGCTGCCAAAGGGGTATCAGCTCGGTAGTCTTGAAAGGGTAATACCCTGTTAGAAAGCATTGGCTTCTGAACTGTTGCCAAAAAGAGGCGTGGCTGAGTCCAGGTAGTAGCAGGTCCTAAACTCAGTTTAAGAGTGGCTTTGCCTTTGTAGCTGAAATAATCACACACACACACACACACACACACACACACACACACACGACACAAACACACAGTGAATGGCTTTCCAAAAAGTTGTTCACAATTTTTTAACATCCCTCCCATTCCTTTTCCTAAGAATGAGTTGGGTTTTTCCATGAGGAAGCAGCTTCTGATTAGAATTCTTAGAATGTCTTAGAGGCAGAAAGGTTTCCTTGCTGATTCTATCCCCACATAGCAGTCCTTGCATCATCTCCATGAGCATCTGCAATTCTTCTGCCTGAATGGGGGCCTTAAGGGGCAACAAGAAGCAGGGAAAAATAAAATAATAAGCAATAAAATGAACATTTTTGTCCATTCAAAGCTGATGTTGCATACAGGCCAGATGCACTATTTATAACTTTTGTTATTACTTCAGTTTCTCTATTGTACTATTAAAATGTGTGGAGTACTATGAGATATGCCTGATTCATTATGTGAGGGTAGGTTTCCAATGTGGTGCTTGAAATCTTCTCTAAATAAAAGTTCTGGACAAGATAGACCTTGTCTACCAAGTATAATTACATATATTTCCTTCTTTTGTTTCAGCCTCCCTGAATTGTTAGATTTATTTGCTAATAAAGAAGATTAAGTCATGTTTAATGACCGTTAATAAGCTGAACATAATGAAGGCCACAATGCTATTATTATCTAATGTAGATCTGGAACAACCTTAATATTGCTTTTAATTAGCAAGCTTTGAATGCAAATTTTTCTCTGCAAGGAAAAAAGAAAAGAAAAAGAAAAAAGCAGATGACATTTGATTTGAATAAAATTATGCAACTAAAGGATGTATTTTTAACATTCGGTTTTGGAAACACTGTGGAGATATAATATTCAGGTGGTTGGTAACCCAATTCACATTTCATGTCTGTTTGGTTATTATTTGATTTTACATAGGGCACATTCACATACCCTTTCTGTCCCAGGAAGATTTGACCTCAGGAATGAAAGCGATTGACACTTGCTTTCCTGAAAAACAAAGGTGGGAGGGCATAGCACCTGAGGAATGCCCAAGGGAGCATATGGTAGCCTGCTGTTCTCAAGGCATTTCAATCTGGACAGGACTTAGAACTAGCATGAGCAAAAGGGCAGCTTAAATGGATAAGACATATGCAACATAGCCTCAGTTTACTTCTCTTCTGTCATGTTCTCATCATATGCTAAACAAACAAACAAACAAACAAACAAACAAACCTCTTAAATAATAATTTGTCAAACTATAGGAGGTCCAGTCATAGCAGGTACCTAAGAAATTCCTTTTTTTGTGGCAGTGCAGAAATTTCCCTATATGTTTACAAAGGACAGATTAATGCTACATGCTTTGATCAAATATTATATTGATGGGAACTTTAGGAAGAAAATTGACACCTTTTATTATTTATTGATTTAAATGTATTGGTCACCAACTCCAGAGGACTGTGGATGGCATATAGTTTTATTTGTGTTACGGACTTTATTGTTTACAGGCTTTGACTATAGGCAAGCAGATATGGTGCAGGGTTTCCTGCCTGAGCAGGGGGTTGGACTAGATGACCTCCAAGGTCCCTTCCAACTTTACTACTACTATTATTATTATTAAATATGGTTTGGCCCCAATCTGACCTAAATGCTATTTTTTAAAAAGGACATTAAAGGGACAAAGTCTAATAAAGATAGATAAGAAACTGTGGCTACTTTCTGTGGTTGGTTTTGAACCAAGCCAATTTGAAAGTAAGGCTTTTTAACAGAATCCATGATGCCTAGTTCAAATAACAAACAATTTAAGTACAGTTAACAATAAAAGCACTCAGAAATAGAAAGGGAAGAAAAGAGAAAAGTACAATTTGTTACACCTGCTGTATAAAGCATAGGACAGTGTGACCTGACCAATGCCTTTAAAGGAGAATGAGAAAGACCTTAATTAGTTAGTGGGAAGAATGAACTAAATAATAGTGTACTTATTTATTGAAGCAAACTGCCCACTAAGTTGTAGAATCTGTGTTGGGAATTTTGGAGAATATTTATCCAGATAGCTTAAGGATATAAAAATCTACCTCTTCTGGATTGCTGTTGGTTCTGAGTTTTAAATAGCCCTTTGCTAAAATGCTTCCACTGGGTTCTGTCATCTCCATGTAGGTTTTGCATGTATACATATATCTCTTATTTGGCTTGCCCTTAGGGCTTGTAATATGCCCTAACTTTCTTATGAAGGAGAAGAGATTGAGAGATATTTCTGTATTAACAGCTGTCATCATAGGGATATAAGGTTGGAAAGGACTTTGGAGGACTTCTAATCCAACTTTCAGTGCAGGGCAGAAATCTTTATATCATCCCAGGCAAATGGCTTGAAAATCTCCAGCGATAGAGCATCCATGACCCCATGAGATCCATAGTTTTCTCATTCCAGAAGTTCCTACTTAGTTTGAATATGGATGTCCCTCTGAAAAACCTCCACCCATTCTTGTCCTACTCACAGGAGGTATGGATAATAATACTATATTGCTTCTCCTGCAACTCCTCTTCAAGTACTGCTCTATCAATGTCCTCTTATTTCCTTCTTATTTCCTTAGGCAAAATTTACTCAGTTTATATAACTGTTATTTGGAGGAGTTAGTTCCAAGCCCCTCATCATTTCTGCTATTCTTTTCTACATCATTTCCATCATTATTCTAAGTTTGGATTTGTGGGTTTTTTTTGAGGATTTCTCAAAGAGATTTTGATAGGAGAGATCCTGCTTTGCTCATTAGTCAACTTAATGACAACAATTCAAGCTTTTATTACAATATTTAATTCTTTATTAAAATTGAAAGAGAAGGAATGAGTCAGAAAAAAATGGAACTTATATAAATAGGAAACTAAGCAACAATTTTCAACTGACCTTGTACATATGCCAATTAAGAACAAAAGTATTCTTTAGTTGCATACTAAAGTAAGCATGCCATATTTTATCTAACTTGTTTTATTCAGAAGGTGCTGTGATTGATGGGGAGGGATTGATAGACAGGCAACTGAGGAGAATCCCCTCTTGGATTTTTTTTTTTTGTCAGATGGGATTCATTTTAAAGAAACTTTCCTCTATTTTGGTATGAGTTAGAGACTTGCTGCCTGACTTTCATTTCAATAATTCCAGAAAAAAAATCTGTTTAATGCTCAGAGATGAATAGTCAGCAACATACATTTAGAGCAATAACCTTGCCAACTTTAAGATGTGTGGACTTCAACTTTCAGCTTTCCTTATCTAGCATGCAAGAAGTTCTAGAAGTTAAAGTTCACACATCTTAAATTTGCTAAGATTGAGAAACTCTGGTTTAGGTCACAGTGTGTCCCAGTCAGGAAGTTGCATTAGATGACCCAACTGGATGATAATGATGATGACGATGATGCTATTCATTCAGTTGTGCCCCACTCTTGGTGATTCTATGGGCCAGGTCTCTGCACATTTTCCAGTCTTGCACTATTTTTTTAAGTTGTTCTATGCTGTGACTGGTGTCAGTTTTGATGGTGTCTAGTCACCATGTTCTTTGGTGGCCTGCTTTCCTTTTACCTCTAACTTTTCCAAACATAATTGCTTTCTCCAGTAACCCAACTAGATTTAGGGATGATTCCTTAACAGGAGGGGAAAAAAAAGAGTCCTGGATCCATGAGTAGATCTAGAAGTATTGTTTGAGATATGTATCTGATGTAATAATATTCAATACATTCTCTTCTTTGACTGAAGCTCAGATTTGAAACACTATTTTATTTTTTTCTCCTCTTTCAGACTATATGAAGGTAAAGAACTGACAGAATTTGAAGAAGCCATGAGAAGGCTTTTTGAGTCAATCAACAACCTGATGAGAAGTCAACACAAGACAGCTATTTTATTACAGGTTGGCCTATTTTTTTCCTTCAGTGCTTTAGGTCACTGATTTTCAAACTGGGCAACATTAAGATGTATGGATTTCAACTCCCAGAATTTTCCAGTCAGCATCCCCATATTTACATGATAAAAATTCACATGGTTGGCAACTGATTCATATTTATGATGGTTGCGATGTCCCAGGGTCATATGATCACCTTTTGCAACCCTATGACAAGCAAAGTCAATGGGCAAGACAGATCATTTAACAACTACGTTACTAACTGAAAAACTGCAGGGATTCACTTAACAACTCTGGTAAGAAAGGTCGTAAAATAGAGCAAAATACACTTAATAACTGCTATCGCTTAGCAACAGAAGCTTTGGGCTCAGTTGTGGTTGTAAGTCAAGGTCTGTATATGTTCTCTTTTGCTCTACAATTGCTCAAAATTAATTCTGCCTTTCAAAAAATGTCTACCACTTGTCCTTGATAAAGGATTGTTTTACAAATATGTGTCAAAATACACACTCAAGTACCAAGCAACTTAAGCAGAGATTGATTTATCTGTTTGGACAGCCTGTGTGTCATTTTGTTTTTGAGGTCGCATTATGAAATCTTATAACCCAAGTAATCCTGCTGCTAAGCTCTGGACAATCAATCAGCCTGCAATGTGGCACAACTGAGCACTCTAGTAAAGAAAAAACACCAGCACCAACATAAATTCTACTTTGAATCCTACCTTTCCAGTTTAGTGTTAAAGATCTGCAGTTTGGAATCTGTAGTATAAAACTCAGAATAAAAAGGCTAAAAATGGATGAAGCAGCTCAGTTTTTGATGTCTCTACTTTTAAAAAAACTATTTAACTACCCAGTAACATTGTTTGCTTGCTTTAAGCTGCAGTCCAGAGACTGTTGTTGACTCTAAGGGGGGAAAAAAGAAGGTATCTAAAGGAACCTTTTTGTATAATTATTGTCCTTATCTTTTACATTGGTGAGAGTGGAAATAGTTTTGGTTTTGCAGTGCAGTTAGGACAATAACTGATAATTCACACAGAGAAGATTTTAAAAGTATAGGTATTTAGAAATCAGAGTTATCGTCAGCATGCCCTAATATAATAAATTACAGTTTATGGATTAATATTTTGGATCGTTGCAGTAGGATGCAGAGAAGTTGAAACTACAAGGAAAGGAAATGCCTTTTTTATGTTAGCTTTATGCAGTGGGAAAAGATAAGGTGCTAAATATATTAGGAAAGGTAGACACAAAAATGGAAATACCACAGCAGTGTGTACATGAGCTGGATATAAATGAGGTGGAAGAATCACTTCAGTCATAACATTAAGCTTAGTAAATGATGCAGAGTGAAACTGCAGAAATAATCTTAGTTCTGGCTCTAGGTTTAGGAGGAGAGGAGATTCCCCCCTCCCCCCCGTCAAGAATTTTTTTTTAGATACTTCTGCCTGGTGTATAGTATTTTTGTTAAAGGGATCTAGCAATGCCACAAAAAGTCAATTACAATTTCCTACTCCTCTCTAAATAATTAGAATAATTTTATGTCCTTGACCTGAAGAAAATGCTGTCACTGTCAGGCACTTCAACTGAAAGTAGCTCAAGGTGGAGAAAGGAGAGTACATTTTTATAGGTCTGTAACATTGTGAAAGGCATATTTTGGAAAGAGTGATAAAAATGCATATATTCATGAGCATGTCTCAAGTTCACATTCTTATCACATTGTATTAATTATTCTTGGGAAATTTGAACTTCTGGATTCTTTAGACATTATTCTTTTTTTGTAAATATATTTTATTGATTTTTTTAACATAATCGTCATAATATTTGTTAAACAGCGTGTTGTCTGGGTTTATATTAAGCAATCACTAACAATAATCTATAATCCATATAGTAGCTTTGCTTGATTTTTTCTTCTTCCAATAATATTCTCTTTGCCAACCTTGAATTAATACAATTTTTATTATTTTGATAAGTAACAATTAAGTATAAAGATTTGTCCAACATTTCTACAAATAATATTCACATCCATATAATGCTTCTTTTCTATCTAGACATCTTGGTTGCCTCATTATAAATCCTGTTCACAATTCTTATTTAAATTTGTTTTCCCCACAGTGTTCAAAACATTCTTACTAGTTAAGATTTTCTCAAAGTTGATTACATTTAAATATTTAAGTCTATTTTATTCATAGAAGCCATCCCAACACTTTTACATTTTTCATATCTTAAAAAATATAAAAAAACAAAAAAAGGAGAAGAAAAAAAGGAAGAAGAAAATAAAAAACAGTATGCTATTTAAAGTACATCTTAAAATAATATACATTTATTTCCAATTTTTTCTATTTTTTTAAATCATAATTAACCATATGTTTAATCTTTAAATGTTCTTTATATTAACCATTCCAAACATTTTAGATATTATTCTTTATTAGAGACAGATTACACAAGATAAAAATGAGGTAGGTCAAGATTTTTGAAGGAGTATCTGAATCCATAGAGCTTGTTTAAATGCAGAGATCAGCCTTGGAGGTTTATCTATAAAAAATCAACAGATTGGAGGCTTTTTGTGTTTTAGGGTATCCTGTTAAGCTCCCTTATACCTTTTGCCCCATTGTTACACCCTTCTCTCTTAGGCTGAACTTTGCTGAGATAGTTATTTGATTAAATTTAATGTTCTATATTACTACTAGTATTAAATAGTGTGACTCTTACTTGAAAAATAATTTAAACTTTTATTAACAATGGCTGCATTTTATTACAATATTATTTTTGTAGGTTTATGTTTCCAGCTGTTTTGAAAGTTTGGTAATCCAAACTAATCCAAAAAGAAACCCCCACTAAAACCCAAGACAGAGAACAAGAAAACAGCAAAGCTCTCCTCCGTTACATAAAAGGCACCACAGACAGAATCAGCAAGATCCTCCACAAACACAACATTAAGACAGCATTCTGCACAAACAGAAAAATATCCACCATCCTAAGAAAACCCAAAGACAAAATTGAATTAGAAAATAAGGAATATATGAAATCCCATGCACCGCTTGTCCCACCACATACATCAGACAAACCAACAGAAGAATAAGTGCACGCATTGAAGAACATAAGAACTCAGTCAAAAAAGAGGAACCAACTTCTTCCCTGGTCCAACACCTTAAAATCACAGGACATGAAATTGACTTCAAAAAGACCAGAACTATCGCCAAAACTGAACACTTTAATAACAGAATAATCAGAGAAGCCATCGAGATAGAAAAATGCCCACACAGCATGAACAAACGAGATTATACCTCCTGCCAGCCATTTGGAAACCCGCCCTTATTGACAAACGAGTCCCTAACACAAAGAATGACACCAGACCCACACTCACAAAAGCCACACAGGATGTCACCACCACACGTCCATGCAAAAAGCAAACCCAAACCCACACCAATGATGAGGCATGACCACAAACCAGAAGCCAGACCGCAGCTGCATCATTAGCCACTTTAAACCCCTCCAATCCATACATGAAGCAAACTGACACCCACCATGAAGATGAGGCATGACCACGAACGCGAAGCCAAACAATAGCAATGCAGCTCACCATCTCACATTCCCGTGCAACTCAGACTAACCTGAGCACAACAAAGCCCCCACCCAAACAGAACACTCCCCCAACCAATCAGAGCACAGCCAACCCCCCCATCCAATCAGAGCACAGCCAAGCTCCTAACCAATCAGAACACACCTCCATCCAATCAGAACACAGCCAAGCTCTCATCCAATCAGTTCATATCCCCACTGGCAGTTAAAAGGAAGAAACAGTTACGGTCACACATTGCTCCTAGAAGCACGAAGCCGAAAACACCAGCCTGAAGATGATGAATGAGAATATCTATCTATCTATCTATCTATCTATCTATCTATCTATCTATCTATCTATCTATCTATCTATCTTCGGTTATTTGATATAATGTCTTATATCAAACTCTGGGCAGCTCCAATTAGCATTTTTTCAACTCATATTAATGATAAAAACAACTTAGTACATAAATATATTACATTAATATTGCTAGGGATGCTTTTTTCCATTACCACAGCACAAATAACACTGAATTTTTTTTGTTTTCTTTGCTTTTATTTAGTTTTTAAAAACACGATTGGCCAGTTCACTCTGTTAACTTCACAGCTTTGGGAATTTATACCGAACCAAAGCCCAACATTCAACCTGAAGTTCTGCATATATTTCTTGAAGGTTGAGGCAGAAGATAGTCCACATTAGGCTTATATAACGCATCCCTTTTCCTCATATCCCAGAAATGGTGAAATGTATCCATTCAAGTTTTATATTGTAATAATTGTATTTTGGGAAGTGGATTTGGGAGAGAATAAGAGAGCAGATGAATCAATATGTAACTGTATAGTTAAAAAGCCTCTGAAATGCAAAAGACTATTCTGTGGAATTTATTTAACAGTCAAAGTGACCTAGAGAAAGCAAGATGTACCTCTTAGAAAAATTCCCTAAGTCAGAATCCAAGATGTTATTGCTTTTTAGTGGTAAATATAATAGTTATTGTACTATTGTTGAGAAAAAAGGGTACATACATGAGTTGCTTAATTTTGTAGTTCTGTTGTGAACCTGGGCTTCCTGTAGCTGCTTCACATTATAGTGATCTAATTTAGATAATTCAGGATAGGGAGGGGCCTCTACTGATACCCAGGACCTCTACTGATCCCATGTGCCCAGTAACTTTTTTTTCCAGAAGGAAGCTCCTTAAAATAGGAACCTCCCCAAAGAAAGAAAATGTATGCCTATTATGTACAGTGGGAGCCATTTCTAGCAAATCTAGATTGTTAAGAACATATGGAAGTTCAATTCACCACGAAAAAATTGTCTCTAAATAACTTGACAGTGGAGTTTGAGAAAGTCTGCATATAATTGCTATAAGTATGAGTCAATAGCAGGAGACTTAGGAAAAAATTATAGGCTTGTAATATTGATAAATGAAAAGTTAGTGTAAGGCATTTCTCAGTAAAAAATAGTCTGGAAGATATTGTTGGAAGGCAGTTGAAAACAAAGGTTCATGAAAATCAACTAGAAGTTAAACGGCATGACCAAAAATCCCTGATCCCAAACACATTGATGATAAATAACACCAATTTAATTGGGAAGGAACAAAAAATCATTGGGCATGCCAACATCTGTCACACACATGAATTTATTGAGGCCTGGCATTCTGCCAAAGGAGCAATTAACAAGCATATTGATCTAGATCCAGCATATGAATATGTAAGAAACCAGACCATTCAAACTGCCAATCAACAAGAGAACCAATCAGCTGCTCAGAATTTAAATATAGCTCTAAACAGACAACCAATTGCACAACCAACTGACCACCCTGGCACACAAGACATTTATAAGCTAAAGAGAATAGGACAGGGAAATCCTGCTGCTGATGTTACCTAGTTTAGTAATGAAATGTTCAGAAACTATATTGAAACAAGCTTGGAGAACAAACCACTGGCAAAATCTAAAATTATTTTCTATTCTTTCACTGTTGTTGGTTTCTTTATACTCTCCAGAGTCCAGTTTACTAAAGACCTGTGGACACTTCTGGATATAGGTTCTGTCTGGATTTTTAGTGAAACCTAGCTCTAAATTATGTAGGTTTATTTGGACTTTTGGAAAACAAAAAATGATCAACTATGTTATTTTTCTTTCAGATGGCTGCCCTGAAGTATATTGCATCTGTTCTCCAAGATGTAGAAACAGTCTTTGATGTCAAATTGCTCAGGTGGGATGACATTTGGAGTTCAAAAACATCAGGGCATTTAGATGCCTTCAGTTTTGGCTGCAGATTGCAGTACATTTCTGGAATAAATCTGAATTCTGCTGGTTCATTCTTACATAATTTTAGGCATAATGTAAGCAATTCCATTTGCATAGGAAACTTGCCCAGAAAGCATGAAATTCCTGTAACTAGATATAGAGCCTTTAATTTTCTATTCATTAAGTTTTTCCCAATTATCTTGCTATACCCAAGGGACTTCATATCTCGCTAGTTTCTTATTTGTTTAATATTACCTTTTCTCAAAAATCTCCTCATACTCTTTGCATGACTGTTTTAAGTCTTAGCAATTTCCTGACCAAACATTCTGATCGATTTTATCTTTTTTACCTACAGCCAACTTTTACATGAATTTTTCACCTGCATTCCAGCAAAGTTGCAGAAGCAAAAAGTTCAATCAATGACAGAAATTGTACACAGCAGTCTCTTTAAAAAACAAGGTAAATAATAGTGACAATCACTTTAGTGTTCATAAAGACCTCCTCAAAGGTCATAGGCATGGCTCCTCCTTCTAAAGTTTCATTAGCAAACTTAACCATCCCAAACCACTATAATTTTTGTTTTGAAAAGCATTGGTTTAATACTAAAAGAAATATGTGTTATACTACCTGGGCCTCACAAAATGGATTGCTTGTGTTTGATATAAGTCAGTAACTTTTTTCTATCCAGGACTGAGCCATAATTTGTTTAGTCTCCCAGTGGCCACAAGTGGAATAGCTACGATGTCATATTATGAGAACAGATAGAGCCAAACTAGTCTAAGAATTAGAGCAGGGGTGTCAAACTGCCAACCTACAGACCAAATGCATCATGGCGAAACCACATCTACCCCATTGCCGGCAATGGAAAAAAAAAGCCACGATATGTCGCAACACATCACATGACGTTGCAAGTTTGACACCCCTGAATTAGAGGCTCATAGAGAATATTCTGTTAGAGTTTGTTATGAAGCAGAGCTGCTTTTTTGCCATATCATTTGGGCCTCTTATCTGGCAGTATTTATTATTAATCAGAATAATGGTTTTTCGTTTGGTTCTTGCTGAATAACTTTTTGAAGCTATTCATCTGAACAAGGAACTTTTTTGAACACTTATGTCCATTCTACCAAGAAATAACAATGGCATTAGGATTTTTCTTGTTTTGGTTTTTGCAAAGTTATCCCAATTCCAAATTATTTTTAATGGTAAGTAGGCTGAAACTTGAATGATGATAGATAGATGATGGATGGATGGATGCATGGATGGATGGATGGATGGATGGATGCATGGATAGATAGATAGATCATTACTTAGATCAAATGTTAAATTAACTGGCATCTAGTTTTTCCCTTGTATTTCATTGGGGAAATCTCACCCTATTAGTTTAAAAATGAGTTATATCAAAAGCCTTTCAAGGAAATCCATAATTTAATAACAATACAGAAAGCTATTCAGAATTTTTCTAACAGTCCAATATTCATGAAAACGTTTGCAAAATAGGTACCTCTCATTTTTTATTGTAAGAAAGTCATTAATTGTGCCTGGATTATGTGATTATGTGATTACCTCAAAGAGTTTTATAACATATGATGAAAAGAAATCAAGTAATTCTTTTCACATCTCAATGCTGTGTTTCAACTAGAAGATTTAAATCAGTAAAAAGAGATTTACTTTGTAATAACTTAAATGTTATATAAAAGTGACTTTTGAATTAACAAATATAAATATGATGGGATCTGATGCTTTTGCCCCCTTCCCTCTGTTGCTTTTGGACCTCTTATCTTAAAAGCAACACAAATACGTGGATAGTAAAGTTGAAGGTTAATATCAATATTCTTTAAAAGATATTGGAGGCATTAATTTAGAATTATGGTGAGTTACATTTGTGAATGGTAACATAAAATTTGAAATCTGTCTGGGATCTTTTTGAGGCAGATATCTCCATTAAAGGACACAAATTAAACAGAAAATCTTGCTGTGGAAGACATTTTTTCCTTTAAGTGACTGCTCAATTACTTGATAAATCTGTCAAGTAAACCTTTCTTACATGCCAAATAATTTATGATGGCCACAGTTTATGCATTTTAAAAATTGTAGCTGCCAAACTCTTAAAAAGTACTGTTAGTTTTAGCAAGACAACGGAAGCTGTTAATTCAGGTCAGTGGCTAATTCCATGAGTGAGTTCACATGAGATACCAGAGCACAAACAATCAACCACTGGTGTCATCACCAGTCAAATTGGGCAAATGTAATTACCATGTTTGGTGTAAGTGGAGTTAATTGAATAAATTATGGATCAGTACTTCATGGATATATGAATCTGTATGAACTCATTGGTACTTTAAGAGAGGCCAAAATCTCAACACCTCAATACTTGGAATTAAGTCCCATTAAATTTGTTAGTGCTTACCATTTTCAAGGAGGCCTGTGTAGGATTGCAGGGTTAGAATCTTGTTTCCTTTGCCATGTGTAAAGAATGAGTAAAACACTTAGCAAAAAATAATAATAACCAAATGCATAATATGGTTATTAAAATAAAATTAAACACACTTTGAAGATTGCAGAACTGTGACAATGACATAGTGTATTTGGGAAACTACCTTGAGCCCAAGCATATCAACAAGGGGACTCCATGGTACAAAAACAGCTGCTGAACTTGACAGATTCTACAAGGATTTTGCATGAAGTGATGAAACTCTATATGGCTTAGGGGATAATCCAAAACATTTTGCAAAATGTATGATGAACTATTCAATTATGGTACAGCATAATTGTTACAGCAGAAAGAATTCTTGCAAATTCATCTCCTCAAATATAGGGAATTAAGGACTTCTGGGATGATTTAACAGCCCAACATATGTTGGGTATTCTAAAGTAAGGTTGGTAGGAGACATATAGTTTTTACATTCTTCAAAAGTAAATGGAAACAATGCAGTGAATTCTCTTTCCCATAATTCTCTTCGTCCCCTTCAACTCCTTTTTCCAATTGTTCTTTAGAAGTGAGTTACTCCTACATCTAAAGCCAGCTAAAAGAGAAAACATTTCAAGGGCAAATGGCAAACAAACCCACCATTATTCCTATGCTTTGTATTAGCTTTAAACATTTCTTTTGAATAAAGTTCACTTCTAGAGACCTTTAATGAGGTTTTTTTTTAGACAAAGTAGAGAATTGGTTTACTATTGCTTTTTTTTTCTGATTTCCCTATGCCTGGTGCTTTCTTAGCCAAGCACAAATCAAATTTGACTTTTTTTTCAAGGTCTACTCAGGTGTGTCCAAAATAGGATAATTGACATCCTTTATGAAAATAGCATATCTTACTATAGACAAGTAAAAATTCATAATTTTGGAATTGCACAAGGACCGTTGTACTTTGGCACTCAGCTGCTTTGGAAGCCATCCAAATTGGTACTCAATGCATTTTGATGTGAAAATTTTGCTCTGGGTACCCATTGTTTGTTTCATACTCAACACAAAAGTCAGAACTTGTTGGCTGCCTTGTGATTCACTACTGTATTTTCCGGCGTATAAGATGACTCAGTGTATAAGACGACCTCCAACTTCGACGCCGATTTCCATGCCTAGAAAGTCGTCTTATATGCCAGAAACTACCGTAATTTCCAGCATTTAAGACGACTCGGCGTATAAGACAACCCCCGACTTCGGCGCCGATTTCCATGCTTTAGAAAGTTGTCTTATATGTCGGAAAATACGGTACATTATTCCTTATGGGAAAAATTTGGTTGGTATTCATCATTGTTGGTACCCATTGCTCCTCCTGGAATCAATTAACAATGAATACTGAGATTTAAAAGGACATCCTGTAAAATATAAGCATAATGCAACATGGAGTGTATATACTGCAATAATATTAGATGCAGTTTGCTTATCCAAAATTATTTAGTCAAGAAGTCTCTTGAGTTATATAATTTGTTTTAGCCTTGAAAGCATTTCTCTGTTCAAATTGCAACAAAGGTCCTACTGTTCTTTTTCTTAAGGTCAAAACAAGAAGGGGTTTTTTTTGGTTTGTATTACCCAACTGTTAAAGTTTAAAAAGTGGGAAGACTGGGAAGTTGCTACTGAGATGAGAAAACTAGTTATGCAGTGTAGATACCAATTATATTATATCTCAACCTCAGCCTCAATCACTTTCTATAGACCAAACACAAGTCAGTCCTAAATAAAATCATATCAGTTGCCAAAAATTCTTTGAATAGATAGGTCCGTATTGAGTTGAACTTCAACTGAAATCATCTTTAATTTATTTCTTTTGGCATCATGGTAGAAGAGTCTAAAATAGTAAGCAAGACACTACTGTTTTAAATGAATTTAAAGGTACATATTTTCTCTACAATAAATTTTTATTTTTATTCACTTATAATATAAAACACAAAAATATAAAAGCAAATAATAAGGAACAAAAGTAAGAGAAAGGGAAAAAAGAGAAATGTGAGAAACAAGGGGAAAGAGAAAAAAGGCATTTGACTTCTGACTGCCTCTGTTGCAATAAATTAAGGCATTAACATTGAATCTCAACTTTTTACATTTCTGTAGTAGTATGAACTAACCTTTCTATATCAACAAATCAATCTAATCAGTAAAATCCAAAATCAAAGTATCATTTTTTTCCACCTCAAGCACAAAGTCCAGAAGCGGTTTCCAAGTAGAAACAAAAGTACTTATATTCTTTTCTTTTAACAAACAGTCAGTTTAGCCATCTCTGCTAATTCTGTCAACTTCCATTTTTGTGCGTAGAGTACTCTTGCTAGGATTAACATATATAAAATCAGACTCCCAAATTTTTTTCCCAAGTCTTTTTCCATTAGACCCAGAAGAAAAGTTTCTGGTTTAATCTTTATATTTACTTTAAGAATTTTCTGCATCAAAATATGAATCCTACTTCAATATTTCTTTGCTTTCACATGTCCACCATAAATGATAAAAAGTCCTTCTTTACATTTTCATTTCCAACATTAATTTGAGATACCTTTATACATTCTAGATAACTTATCTGATGTTAAATACCAGCGATACATCATCTTATAAAAGTTATAGTTTTAAGTTATAATTTATAGTTTAGTGTGAATTTTAAGCTTTTCGTTCACATATTCTCACATTATACCAAAAATTCCTTGCCCACTAAATCATACAGTATTTTACATGTGCACTTTCCAAATTCAGTTTCAATAACATTTTGTAAACCTTAGCAATAATATGATCATCACTACCATATAGTAAAATTTCCAATTCATTTTTAACGAAGTCAAACTCATGACTCTTTTTATCTAGTTTAAATATCTCTTTCACTTTTAAGTACCAGTATGTAGACCAATGGCAGTCATGACCATCTCATTCTAACGCTTCCTTACACTTGAAGTAGGATCACCAAAATTAAAAGATATTATTTTACCATACATCCACCAGTCTGGCTTCACCACCATTTCTTTTCTAAAAATAATGTCTTGGGGTACATATTTCACAATACTTACTTTTTAATTCAAAGTTGCTTCCCCCAATTCTCACAGAGAATTTTCAGAAATATAGTAATTAACTAGCATCAGCTTATTTTGGGAGGTCAGTGAGGCAGGAACAAGGTTCATCACGAGCTTGATATAGTCCTAAGTCACTTAGGAACCTTCCTCTAAAGCAGTGGTTCTCAACCTGTGGGTCAGGACCCCATTTGGGGTCGAACGACCATTTCACGGGGGTTGCCAAACAATGCAGTCCGCCATTTTTCCCCCCTTTTCCTTAGCTGTGCTACTCCCTTTTATTCTATTGGCTTTTGAAAGCCAATAGAATAGACTCTCTTGAATAGAGTCTAATTCTATTGGCTTTCAAAAACCAATAGGAACTGTCCAGGCTGTCTCTGCCCTTCTGAGCCCGCCAAAAGTCCCATTCTGCAAATGGTGCTGCACCAGTTGAGTAGTCCTCGACTTATGACCGGTTGGGGGGTCGTGGCATCAAAAAGGTTGAGAACCACTGCTCTAAAGTATAGTTCTGTATATACATTTAACCAGTTCCTTTAGATTGCAGCAGAGATCCTTATGGTCTGTCCTAGCTAGTCACATGAAGTGGTAATTCTGAGGTATTGTAACATGTCCTACAGGTTAAGAAGTTCTATACAAGCTGTTAAAGAAACAACTATCTTGTATAATCAATATAGTTTGCTACCAATAATTCAGATATAACATTTTATTTTTATTTTTTAGAAGATGGGAATTAAGAATTGATTGCCTACTTTATTTAAAGATATCTTAAACGGAATAGGAATAAACAGCTTTATAAATTTCTATTACCACTAATAAAAAGCCAATATAGCTAAATTAAAGGCTAGAAAGATAATGATTATGTTATCTTAATAGCAAAGATTAGCATGCTAAGTTGGTTATTAGTTAATTCATCATGATGAATGGAAATCTGCATGAAATAGTTTGCAATATTTCATAAATAGTGGGCAACCCATCTTGCATGGTTAGCATATTTTTTCCTACATAGCAATTAGTATATATTCCAATTTTCTCTTCACAAAGTACTTAAGTTTATGATTAGGTACAGTAAATAGCAACATGAGCAGGTTATCCATTTCTGATATATATGCACAAAATATTGTTTCCCCACAATAGGAGATGTTTAAAATCTATGACACAGATTTTGAAACTACTGTGTATAGATTATTATAGGATGGAAAAAATAGGTCCTAAGTAATAGCCCATTTTTCATTCCAAAACAGAATAAGAGATAATACTCTTCTCAATCAATGAAAACTGACTTTATGAGTCTTGCATAGATGGAGTCAGAGGAAATTCCATATGACTGACCATATCTGCATGGCATCATTAAGCCTGGTCTCCATCCATACTCGTCTCCTACAAACCTCTGTGCATTTCAAATATGACAGGTTGTCTGATCACAGTTTTAACACATCTGGGAGACAATAGGTGGGCAAGATTGTCTTAATTATCGACTCCTGACTTCTTCTACTGCCTAAGCACCTTCCCATCACTTCTGAATGTAAGCATTTTAATTGTCCTGTCTCAGTTAATTTACACCTGCTGTTTCAGCTCTCCTTTTCACTCAATAACTTTTTCAGCTCCATAATGACATAAGCATTTAGTGCTCTGCCTGCATAATTATACCCAATTCATCTCCTCTTACTTTCTTTGAAGAGTTGCAAGCATTAAAACAACTGAGAACTTGGATGGCTACCAAGAAATTTCTATTTATTAGGTCATAGAATAAATGCACTTTATACATGTATGTGTGTGTGTGTGTGCGTATGTGTGTGTACATACACACACATCCATGTATCCATACATATACTGTACATATCTCCTTCCCCAGAACTATCCATATACATTAGAGTTGTCGCAATAATATGAATTTAAAATTAAAATGGCCAAAAATAAGAGTTTGAGGTAAACTGGTTTTATTAAATGTATAGTACTTCATTTATGTCAGTGGCTAGGATTTATGAATAATAGATTGTAGTGAAATCTTCAAAGATCTACCATTCAATCTATATCAGAGATTGCCAGAGGAATCGGGTCTTCCATATTTCACCCTGAAAATGTTCTCAGAGATCTTGACAACCTTGGCTATTTATTTAAGCCTTGCGGTAAAGTGAGTGGAACTCCCCTGTTTGTAAGGCTTTATGTCTGCTTTCTTGTTTGGATTGCCCTGTTCATAGGGAATATATATTTATATAGTTGTTAACAATGACTTGATGGTACTCCCAAAAGTGCTTTTTTTCAAAAGGCAACTGGACTTTCTTTGTTTTGCTTGAAGAGGTTTTCTTCAGTTAAAACTGAGAAGCTTCTTGGATAAGAAGTGAAACATCTTCAAACAAAATAAAGAAAGTCCAGTTGCCTTTTGAAAAAGCACCTTTGGGACAACCATGACCTAGATGACTGAGAATCTTCATATATGACTGGATGGCACACAATCAATTATTTTGTGGTTATTATTTTTATACTGTTCTATTTTTTAATATTTTGTTGTTTTTGTTATTCAATGATTGTGGGCTGCTCAAAGTCATATAGAGTTGGCAGCATCCAATTTGAATAAATAAATACAATTAAAAAATAACAATTCCACAAATATCCTTCAGCAACATGCTGGATCCTATTTCATCTAATTTCACTAAGTCCCAAACCTTCAAGAATAGACTATTTATGGGTTCAGGGACCAAACCTTGTTGAACGATTTTATTTTCCAATCTTTTTTTGATGTATTTCTTTGTTCCAATACTACATCCTTGGCAGAATTCATTCATTCATTCATTCATTCATTCATTCCTATTTTTGCTACTCAAAGAACATTTCTATATCTGTCATAAAAATGTCTCCCCACCATGCACACACACACATTCCTTCCCCACCACATACATCGACACACACACACATTCAAATGCATAAATTCATCTTAATAATTCTGAACAGTGAACAAAAGGAACATATATTTTCATAGAAGCAAATAATTTGTGAGATTATCGTTGTGCACGAGAAAGAGAATGAAGAGTTCCTGCTGAGGTTTTCCATTAAAATAGGAAAAATAGTTTCATGCTACTTCAGTCATAACACACTTTCAGTGAGGGAGTGTTTTGTTTCTGCACTTGTTCACATTTAAAGATTTGGAAATTGTAAATTATTTGTAGGCAAGGAGTTTTGTCTCCTTCAACACCATTATTTTTTCACCAGATCTTTTCTTAACCACTTTATATTTTTCCTACTGTATTGCTGACTCCATCAGAAAAGGAAATATTTAGACTAGATTTAGAGATTTTTTTTCTTTTTAATGTTATGTGTGGCATGTATTGAAATACAGGAAAAGGAGGGTGATAGATGGCATTCTCTTATGTATTTTAGATGTACACTGCCATATTTTATAAAACCGAGTCTCTAGCATAAATACTGATTTGATGTTATGGAGTGGAGTGTTTCTTTGTTGTTGTCTTTTCTTCAGAATATGAAGAAGCAAATAATTATTCTTGCGGAGACTGTATGGACTTTATCTGTGGACAATATTAACTGAATACAACTGAATCAAAACAGAATATAACTCAATTTACATTGCTATCTTTTATTGTCCTTTTAAAGCTGTTCATCATATTTTTAATCTTCTCCAGGGAATTATGAGAGAACATGACAAATTTTAGAATGATGACTTTGAAAGAAGACACATATGCCTGCAGAATCAGTTTGCCAGTACTTAGTGAGATGTAGCTTTAGTATTCCTCTTATGATTCAGCAGATCTGCTTCTTTTGTATTAATACCTTTATTAATATCATAAATGTAAAATTTTAGTGTCCTCAGATTGCAGTGAAGAATGATTGTATCAGGGAGAGCTATACTGTAAACATTCAAAACAGTAAACATGAAAATATTTGTGACTTGATTTGCCTTCTAAGTACCAAATTGTTTATTTTCAGAATGTAGAGATATCCTTCTCCCTGTAATTACCAAAGAACTGAAGGAATTACTGGATCCAAGTGTTGAAATGCAAATGGTACAAGACAAAAAATATTGCATTGAATTACTCAACAGCATACTAGAAGTTCTCAGCTGTCAAGATGCGGTGAGTATCAATAAGCGTCAGGATTATATAACTGATTCCAATTTATCAAGTCTGTATTGATTAAGGTGTACCAGTTATTTACAATCCAAATAATCAATCTAGGTGCACATACAACTAGAAACAGAAATATACTGCAGACATGCAACATCCTTTTGGCTAAAGTTAAAAATAATCTCTAGCATTACTTATATTACGGGTGTCAAACTCACCACATCATGTGACATGTCGTGACATATCACGACTCTTTTTGCATTGCCGGCAATGGGCTGGGCATGGCTTCAGTATGATGAAAATGGCCCGCAGGCTGGCAGTTTGACACCCCTGACTTACATAACAGTTTCCCTAATTTTTTTGGTTTTTTTTAATGTCATTCTTTGGTTAAAGTTGACAATGGAGGCAAATCTGAATTATAGTAATTTTCATGATTTCAGAAATGGGGAATGTGGTGCCAGAGTTCAAGAGGGTCATTTAATAAAACAGCATTGTGTCGAATGAATACAAGCACCTTCCCTTTTATTCATGCATCTGATATTTCATGCATGTATGAAAGGGGCAGAGCGTGTATCATGCAGCACTGCTTTTGTTGGTTTGATGAAAATGCTGGATCCTATATAGATGTCTCCATCCATTACTTTTGTTTGTTAAGATGCTAGATATAATCTGATGCATGCAACTTGTATCAGATAGTAATTCATTCAGATTCCAGACTGCAGTCTCCACGGTGACATGTCAGCCATTTTAAAAACATTTTTCTCTTGATAATTGCAGCATGGAAGCACATGCCACATTCATTAGTGATCCCTGGCCAGAGCTTTAAATCACTAAATTCAGATCTTATTTTTGATTGGCATAACAATAATTTTACTCTTTGAAAGATGATTCACGTTATCTTATTGCTTTATCTTTTAAAGATCACTTCTTTGAATATTATCTCAGTATCTTCCATAAGATTTATTCACTTTCATTTTTTTATGCTAAGCAGATGAGTGGTTGTAGTTTGGATACTTTGGCCATGTTAAAGGAAGTGATTTATTCATTATAGATATGCTCTGTTGCAAGCCTTTAGGACCCTTGGCAGCTTTAAGGAGTTTAGAAACCATTAGAACATTTATAGTACAATAATTGTAATGAAACTATCAACTAAAAAAAAATCCCAAATCAGGTGTCATTTTTTAAATATATTGCTAAACTTGATGTTTTGAAGAGGCACTAAATGGGATAGTCACTTGACTAAAGTTTAAACATGGATTTAGAAATATGTGCCTTTTCAATATTCATAAACCTAGTAAAAGTAGCATTCACACATAGTAAACAAAGACTGATATTATGAACATAAACAAAAAATGCCCTAACTGAAGACTGATTTTAAATGACAAGTCTTTGACATGTATACCACTCTTACTACTGCATGGACAGAGAAAGTAAATACAGATTCAGTCCCATTTTTGCATGATTCCTAGTGTGATGCTATATATAAAAAACTTGGCATTTAAAATAAACTTTAGTCAAGTGCTAAGCAAGCCAATTTTACGCTATGAGGCTGGCTTGTTCACTTAAGTGGAACTTATTTTAAACAATGATCTGGCCTCTCACGTGACTAATCCAGAAACAACAGAGCTGTAATGGAATCCTGATTTATTTTTCATACTGGTCAAGGAGAAAAGAAGGTTAAACATACTGCACTGCATGAAAAGAAAAGACATACTTTTAGAACTGTGAGCAAAACCTTCATTTTCTCAGTTTTAAATCATATTATTAATTCAGATGTGTAATAGACTTAATGGAGGCAAATATTTAACCCAATTTATGATTTCCCCTCGTGTTTTAATATAACTGCTTTGTTAGTACAATTTGATTAAATGCCTTTCCACAATTACTACTATGCCTTTATAAAAAAGGAGATAAATATATTTGTCACAACCTAACCTGAAAAGGTTTAATTTGACAATCTCACTGAATTCCCAGAAGATATTTCCCAAATAAGTATGAATGGATTGTAGTCATTTGTTTGGTCCTTGGCCATTCAGGAAGATCACCTTTGAGAAAAATAGTAAGAATGCTTCATTTTACATGGCCCCCTTTTTTTTCTTTCTACCACCCACCATAAATTTCTGCAGCTGGGTTTATTATCTAGGGTTATAAATTAATCTGTTACAATAGCACCAAACTGTATTTGAACCTGGTGGCTGTCACACCCCCTTGACACTACAAGTACAGTTCTTAAGGATAATTATAGAGTAAGCATGATATAGATCCTATAATGTACTTTGACGTTTTGTCTCTTATCTAATATATCATTTTTACTACATAGGATTCTGACAATGCTTGTTTGTGCTAACCCTTAATTGGCCACTGAAGTTCTAGAGTACTTCAGCGAGAAAAAAAGTCATGTTAAAGCTTACACAAACACATTTTTATTGTTTAAGCAGTGTGGTGAAACAGGACTTGTTTTTGTCATAAATTACATTCTAAGTTTATTTGGGGACTTAGAATTAAACATCTCACTGTCACTGTCACTAAATGATACATTTAATATTTCTACTCCTATTGTATCTTTTCCAGGGTGTGTACTAATCTTAGATGTGTTTTTTACTTATATTATTTATTTTTCTTTTTCCTTTTCCTTTTCCTTTCATACTTTTCAAATTATCTATCTTGCTTCCCTTGCTGCCTCACTTTTCCACAGTGGCAACCAAGTGAAAAAGATACTGAACTTAGCAGTGTCTGAAAGGTTTCACACAGGTCAATTAAATATTTGCCAAAAGTGTAGTGTCAAAATATACTGTAGGTTTGATGTGGATACGGAGACCTGCCTAATAGGCTGCAGATCTTTAAAAAATGTCAAAAGAAGCAATATGCATGTATTATAATTGCGAATGTTCTGTCTTGTGACTTTTTCCTGAAGCGATGTCTGTATAGAAAAACCAGTCTATTACGTTTAATTATTATGCTTAATATTACTTGAATCAACCTTCTGACAAGCACAGTCAATGGGGAAGCCAGATTTACTTAACAACCAGGTTACTAACTTATCAACTGCAGTCATTCATTTAACAACTGTGGCAAGAAAAGTCATTCAATGGGGCAAAACTCACTTAACAAATGCCTCACTTAACAACAGAAATTTTGGGATCAATTGTACTCATAAGTTTAGGACTACCTGTACTTTGAGGAGCTCTTTTGGGAAAGAGTGTGGCATCTAATTAGAGAGCTCTCAAGAGGCCTTTCAGTTAAAGTTATTTGTTAGACTTATTAAGGCAGAGGGAGTGGATGGGAGGGAGGGAGGACAACCTCTTAGGAAAACTCTGTCAGAATCCAGCAGCAATACATGACATGCCCTCTGAAAATGCCAGATCTGCCAAGAGGAACTGGGAAATCTGCCAAACAGCCAGATGCTGCTTTTGGAAATTGCTGTGCCCTACTGTGGCATCTGGCACTATAACAGTTGATCAAAGAAAGAAGATGAAGTTGAGAAGGCTTAGGGAAATAATAGTAGGTGCATGGCTATTATCTGTAAGTTTAAATATTCTTAGGAAAGTTCAGGTGTCAAGAGTATTATATATTTATGCTTAATTAAGTTAGGAAAAGCATTTGCTCAAGATTTCAAGTTGCACTGAAACAGGAAAACCCATATTTAATGTAGGCTGGTTAATAAAGGGTTGGCAACACAAAGACCACTGATGTCAAGATAGTGATTGCAACGTCAGTCAACACTCTATCAAACCCAAACATCCCTCCTCCAATTTTTTTTAGAAAAGTGGCTCATGTTTTATAAAATACATTGCTACTTTGGGAGATTTTATGAGGTTGCTTAACATTTATTAGATAATGGCAATTAAGAAAAAAATTAGGACCCTAACTCTTGCAAAATTATTGTTCGTCTAGGCTAAACAGTCACTCATCCTATACTAATCCCTGTTTCCATGATTTTGGCTTTTTGGTTAGTGTGGACCTAGTTAACATAGTTTATGGCATAGCAGAAGATATGATTCTGGACACTGTAGATTATAAACAGTTAAAATGAGCCAATGTTTAATGTATGTGTGAATGCAGCCAGAGCAAAGAATCATAAGCATTACTTAATTAGATATGACTATAAATATAACCCTAATAATTATCTCAGGAGGTGAAAGTAATAAAGTTACTGTTGGTTATACAGTTTCAGAAACAATGCCTTAATTATAGAAGCAAGAAACTGTCCTGTGGACTGAAATAAACTGAGGCATAAACCCAGAAAAAACAAGCTTGGTGTTATTTTCTCCAAGACATTCAGGGTATCATATCTATTCCTTTCCATAAAAGGAAGGTGACATCTTTTTTTGGGACATCCCATCCTTCCCAGCACTTAAGATACTTTTTCCAGCAAGACAATGACTGCCCTAGGAAGGGTACAACATCAGCAATGAAAAATTAGGCAAGGTATTATTCAATTGCCATAATGTGTAGAGTCCTACTTCCATAAGTATGTGAAGGTGCATTAATCACCTCTGCTTCCATATAGATACTTATCTAACTTACTTAAATCCACTCTAAACCAGAATGCAATTTAGATTGCTGAATTATGAAGGTACTTTAATCCATAAAACAGATCTATAAGCAGATATGCAAAAGAACTTTTGATGCATTAAATATAAATGCAGTGTATAATATGAAGCAGGAGAGTTATTCAGATGTTGGATATTGTAGCCATTAATAATTATTTTAATTCTACAGCTTTTTATTCTAACATCTAGCCCTTCATCTTAATTACAATGACTTTAATACAGATGGAGTATCCATGGAGATAGAGATATGTTTTTACTAGGACTTTTGCCAATTCTTGAAGATAAAAATTACATGTGATATAACACCCAAGATGAGAACTAATATCAATCTCTCTTGGTGTGATATTCAATCATGGGAATTTCTATCAGCTCCAATTCTGGGATGGCTTGAGTCATTTCTCAAGTCACCAGGATGTTCCAGATTAGGTGTAAATTAGAATCAGTTTCGATGAGTTTTTAAAACACGGTGACATGACCAGTTTCATTGTGCCTAGTAGGTGGCAGTGAAATTTCTGGGAGTCAATCACCAGGTTCACACATTGTACCAAACCATAGCTTATTTAATCAAGTTTTTTAAAGATATTAGTCATGCTTTATCTCATCACACTGGATAGGTTCATACCACACACAAACTACACATATCAAATTATAACCCAATGCAATATGCAAACTCAGCCTAGATTTGTTTATTTACAAAGAAAGCATGTACTTCCTTTCAAAACAAGATTTTTCAAGGAAAGGTAAAATCAATATAATAAAAGTATTTTAAAGCCAGTATCTTAAAAGTTTAAACTGAAATCAGCAGAATAAAATGAATCCTTAAAAAGTCAAACCAAAATAAAATGAACAAAACAAAGTAAAAACTTAAATATATTCAAACAGTCATTAAGGTGACTGCCAATAGTAGCCATAATTCTTGATTAGGCTTCTACTATTTTCCTGTTAGGAATACCTATGATTTCATCACATTATGGCATTGAAGACTACAGAATCATCCTTTCAGCAGTCTTTAAATACTTACAATAAGGAAAGTGTTCATTTTTCAGTTGTGCTTTTCTCCTAACAAAAGACTAGGTTATGAACCCTTTTTAAAAATTAAACCCTCCTATAGAACAAACATGGTGAGAGGACCAGTTGATGCTGAAGGTGACATTAGATGGGAAGAAATGCATAAGAAAACATGCAACAAAGCAGCATGTGAAGAAATTGAAAAGTTGGTCATTTTCTATCAACAATACTGTTGAATGGTAAAAAGAAGCCAAAGAGTCATTGTTCTACAGTGAAAAAGATTGCTATATAAAATGAAGGAAAAATTCTTTTATTGAACATGTAACATCTTTGTTGCTCTAGATAGATATATATATAGATAGATAGATAGATAGATAGATAGATAGATAGATAGATAGATAGATAGATAGATAGATAGATAGATAGATAGATGGACGGATACAGACAGACAGACAAATAAATAAATAAAAACAAACTCTTTGCAAGGCCATTAAAAGGACATTTTAGTGCAATCTTGGAAATAATTTTGTGGTTTGACTATTGCCAGTATTCAGTGGTATATATTGTACTTGGACTGTATGGAGCTGATGCAGATGAAATGGCAGGATGTGTTGCATCTTTGAATATTCCACTATGAGAAAAAAATCTAAAACAAACCAACCAACAAACAAAAAATCTCTCCTTGAAGAGAAACTATGTCAAGGACATGATTATGTTGACCCATGCTTTTGAACAAGGCGAGCATGAATCTTCTGACTACCTTAAGGCATTACTATGTAAAGTAGCAGTGGCTGTATGACTAGCTTCTTCCATGCTGCTAAATATTATGTTCATATGATATGAATTAAATCTGCACATTATTCTTTATTATCTTGAAAAACATTTTTTACAGGGAACAACTGATCAGCATATACAAGAAATAATGATCCAATTGCTGCGCACCATTAACAGGACTGTCATTAGAATGGGAAGAGATGACCCCTTAATCGTGAGTCATTCATTTTGTAAATGTACTTTACTACCGGGGCTTAGGATATGATGTGCACAGAAGCATCACCAATGAGAGATATAAAGCAGTCAGGCAGAGAAAGTTTGTCTTTCAAGGCAGGGCCCTTTAGTGGGCTTCCACCATCCACAGGAAGAAGAGGCCATGTAAAACGTCTCCTTATTTTGGCATTGGAAACTGCCCCCAAGCAGACTTTCTTTCTCCCAAGCTAGCATTACTGCAGATAGATAAAGTTAGGAAGAAACAGAGTCTCTTTCATGCCCTATTCAGTCGATTGTAGTTTACAATTTGGTTTGGTTCATCTCTCTGTTTCTGTTTTACAAAATGAAAGTTATAATGAAGAATAGCAATGTTATTTTGATGAAGAAAGCAATTTAAATAAGTTTAACAAATCCATCTCCAAAGTATCTACTGGCTCAAATACCTAGATGGCTTCATCTTGTTTTAAGATGTAAGAAAAAGCTGTGGGGCCAAGAATCAGTACTGAGCTATCTATGTCAAAAAAAGGCCACAAAATCTGGCTAGATCTTCATTCTTGGTTTCTATCAGCTGTCAGAAAGCAGAAACCAATCCTAATGCACAGAGTAGCTGACAAAGAGCCACTTGTAGAAGTATGCCATCAGGGGTTGACAACCAATCATTTTATGGAAGCAGGATATACAAATTTTGAAGATTGAGTAATTTTCAGTAAGCTTGATACTTTGAAACAAAAATGTATCACTGAAACAAAAAAATATTCCATTTTTCTCTCTTCTGTTTTCAATGAACCATTTCTAGAGATAACTACAGTGTTAGTGTCTTCAAGTATAGAAAATGACCTGTCTGACAGTTTTAAAGACTGCTCTTTCAGGTTGTCAGTTTGTAAATATAGACACTTTAAAATTTCTTTGGTATAAATGGTATCTTAGTTGATATTGACTTACCTCTGAATATTGTTTTCACAAGAGCTGTTTTATATTCAGATTTGTTCTGAATACAATTCCATTTTACATGCCCCTTATATTTATTTTTGGCAGCTATTGTGACCATGGCTACCAAACAACTTTGGTCTTTGTCTTCTGGCATCATCATGATGTCAGTGTGATTCCAACTGAGTTAATGTCTGCTTCTCATTGTATGTTAGATTTCAAGCAGTGCCATAACATGTATTATTAATGTAATCTGTGAAGGCTTCTGTAAAAAAGGATCTTTGAATAGAAACTGTCAGACCTCAGCTTTGTTTTCCTTCATTTGGTTTTGCCTTAACGTCTACGTAGTTTAAAACTTTTTCATGCAAGACAATCCCATCTCTGAAAGACAATGCAATTGGTCTCTTTAGTTATGTCATTTCTCTTTTTTAAAAAATACATTTTTTAAAAAAATGTTTACATTTTAGCTGTCAAGCTGGCGGCCCATAGGCCGGATGCATCATGCGCAGGCCACGCCCACCCCAGCTCCGCAAAGGCAAAATACGTCATGATATGTCACGATACGTCACATGACATGATCGAGTTTGACACCCATGATCTAAGGTGTGAAACAAGGAAATAGCCACTTTTCAGAAATGAATAGTCAAAGAGTAAGGAAAGCCCTTTCTGACCATAGTACAGCTTTGCATAATCTCTGACCTTGACAAATGTTCCAGGTGGTGGCTAAGTCTTTCTAAAATGCCACTGTTTGGTTGCTTGTAGAGAATAAGAAATTCCTCTGAGGTGTCCGGCAGTATTCCAAATTAAAGTGGAAAATAATCTCACCTTCTTTCAAACCTTTGATATACAGATCATTGAGGTGCAAGAGGGAAGCTAGCAAATTTTTTCTGAATTGATTGAAAGTTCAATAAAGTGCAGTCTTCATTTAGTAACAATAATACCATGCTGTGAACATTTCAATATCGAGTATAAAAGCCATGATTATTCAAATGAATTTTGCAAAGCACAAGCCTGCTAAATGAAGAGACAGAGCTGGGCTGGAGTCAAGTAGCTGATATTTAGTGGGGGAATGACTCAGGAGAACTGTGAAGGTGATTTGTTGAAATCTGCCCAAAGCTATTACATCTCCTTGAATAATGTTCACATCTGCACTTTTGAGATCTGTTGTATGCCTCCCCTTTTTTTCAGTGGAAGTTTCTGTTTTTCATGAAATAAAAGGACTACTATAAATAAAGGAATAAACAATGTTCATCTAAGGTGTCCAGTGGTTGCTTCAGATGGTCCAGGCAGGTTGCTTTTCTAGGTCATGATATTCTTGGCTTAGGCTGGATTTTGCTCTCATTCGCAGTTTTGAGTTGTCAGCACCACTTAGCATTCCACTGATACTAGGAAAGGTGTCACGCGTAATGAACATTGTATTGGATACACTTTCCCCAAATGCCATTTTTCATCTTTGCACGCTTTTGCTTACATATTCTTTTAATGGGATATTTTCCAACTTGGTGCCTCTGCACTAAACTCATCATTTCAAGCCAGGATAGTCCCAATATTTTATTGCTTGTGATAATGGGAGTTGTAATTTAATGAATCTGGACACCACTAAATCAAAGGCAACTGTCTTAAACTATTCATTAGGTATGTAACATTGTAGTTAATGTGTCTTTTAATCATCTTTATCTACTTTCAATTGCTTCTGTTTTCATAATTTTTAGAATCACAGTTATATGATATCTTATCTGTATGGCATTCAAGGCCTTCTGCTTAAATATGGCCTGACAAATTGGATAATGCTTCACCTTTTCCATTTATCTAAGGTGGAAATGCCTAATCTAGAAAAAATAATTTCACTTCTTCATGTTTATAATATGAAGATTAACTTTGATGCCTTTTTCTATAGCCTCAGTTGTCTTAGATCCACTTTATTACTTGCACATAGGAATTATTTCTGCCTTTTAAAATGATGCATTGAATTGTATATATCCAATCACAATTGTTAATCTGTGAGTCAGAGTAATGCAAATGCTGCCTGAAGATATTCTGGCCTTTACAGACTAGACAAGTCTCCTGCCATCCATTGTTGGTACACATGAGTTTCATCGCCTGCTGATAAAAGTTGCCCATGAGAAAAATCTTATGACATTCAATATGTAGTGTTATGAGAAGATAATATATATGGCACCAGAATGTATGTTAATCAATATATTTTTGACAACATAAGGGAATTACTTATACATTAATTTATTATTCATGTAAACAATATAGTATTTCTGTTTGAGTAATATTAGTAATAGTAGTAATAGCAAAAGGTGTAAATGTAGAATTGGGGCAGACCATTGTTATCAGCTTAACAAATGAAGACAAGTTTGTTGTCCAGTTGGGATCATCTGCTCTTGACTCAAGAGCTTGCAATGCATATTCATATACATTGCCATGATTGGTCACCCGGCTGGACTGTCCCTAAATCTGGCCATGTCTAGAAATATCTAGAATTGATTGGAAAGAGCAAAATTCAGAAATGAAACTCTTCTAGCTGTGTGACTGTATCTGCAATAAGTTGGTTTGATATGAAGCCAGTGCTAATGGAATTCACAGAATTTGCTAAGTAAGGACATTAAAATAAGGAATTTTGTTGGATTACTTTGTTGCCCTATGCCAATGGTAATTGTGCTTTAGATTCTGACAGATAAACTCTGCTGAGTAATAGTCTTTTGGTTATTTTATGCTCTGAAATGTCATGGGTTAGCCAAGTAATGTATAAATTATCTAAGGAAAATAAATATATCCCAGTTTTATCAGTTTTACTAAAATAATGAAAATAAAACACAGTGGCTATATTTTTTCTGACACCTGAAGCTGGTAGGATAAGAAAACAATTAAACTTCTGTTCTTTTGTGTAAGTCTGCTCACTTGCCCTTTGAATTTTATTTTTTCCAAAGAGTATTTGCACTCTTCATACTTTTTAAGGAATCACTTAACATACTTGAAGATAAGTGATAAGTGCTTAGGTAGGGAGGTGAATGTATACAGAAAACTGTGTTTCAACAGTTTGGTTAGGTAGTTCTATGTAGGCAACAGAGTATTGGAATCTGCCTTAAAAGAATTGCAATTTTAAAGCAATTTGCAATTTTTAAACACGATAGGACTGGGACAGCATTTCCATGAAACTGTAAATTTGACAACTCATATCGTATCTTCACTTTAAAAATATACTTGTGTTCATAATATGTATAGTTGTACAGTAGAAGATGGAGCAATCCTAACAATGTCTTCTTAAATGCAGGCCACCTGAATTCAATGGTATTTACTCTCAGATAAATGTTCGGATAGGGGAACACACTTGTCTGAGGTTCTCCTTTGCTGCTAATCGTATTCTGCTTTCTTATCTGAGTTCCTTTTCTTTACAAAAAGCTATTTGAGCCCATTACTGTTGCTCCTTCAAGAAGAAAAAACAAAGAGAAAGAACTAGGATTAAAAAGAAATTCTCATCACAGCTGCTTGGTCCAGATGGTCACTGAGCAGGCTGTGAAAGACAGGAGGACTGACTCTTGATGCAGATCTATAAACAGATGTTCAGGTGTTTCAGTTCTCTGCGTGTGGATTTTCAACATTATGGAATTAAAGAAGAATTTCTGAAAACCTTAGCTCCTTTACACATAAAGTATGCCATCCTGAAACTGAATTTTCATCATGTCTTGTAAAACTGCTAAGGAAAAAGACTTGTTAGAAAAACAGCTGTTGAATCATTTAGCCTGGTTGGAATAATTGCATTAACTTCAGTCACCATAAACACAGCTCTTAAATTATTGAGTCCTGAGACGGAAGAAAATATGTCAATTTATTGAAAAAGAGATTATGCCAGTAAAAGAATCTAGAAATATACAAAACATTATATTTGATTAGTACAGTTCATCAGGAAAGTAATTTAAATTAGTGTCTGCTGCCCTATTTATCAAGAGTTGTGGCTGTGAGTAAAAGGAGAAGGTATTTATTGTACTGTGGGAATAATTATTTTATTGAAGATGTGGTTCGAAGAAGACTATTTTGTTCTTCTAGTTTTCTTCCTAGAAAATAATT